CCACTAGATCCCGAGATCGAGAGGACCTGCTGATAGAATAGGAAGCAGGCCAAGTTAGGGAAGCAGCCTACCACATCCACAACTCCTAGGCCTTCCCTAACTCAGAATCGTCAACCGAGAAGGCAGATGTCACCACCTGTCATCCCTACACCACCTACACCACCGCCGCGCATCATCGAGCCTGTCATCATGGCAGAACAGGATCGTTCGATCAGGGCTTGTCTGAATCGGAGGACTGGAGCCCGAGCTTCATGTGTTGTCATTCCGGCTGGGGATGCAAACATGGAGATTGCCCCAGCCTTTATCAATATGATCACAAATGGGTATACCTTCTCAGGGGCCAGCACCGAGGATCCTCATGAACATCTCCGCCGGTTTGTAAACATTTGTGACACAATGAAGAGCCCGGCTGTGTCTGATGATGCCATCCGTCTTCGGATGTTCTCATTTTCTCTGCTAGGGAATGCATCACACTGGTTCCAGAACTTGACACCCCGTTCCATCACAACATGGGGTCAGCTTGAGAAGACCTTTTTGGATAAGTACTTTCCTCCTGCCAAGGCAATGAAGAGGCAGGAGGAAATTGTTACTTTTAAACAAGCTGAGGATGAAAGTCTGACCGAGGCATGGGAGCGCTATAAGGAGCTTCTAATGAGATGCCTGAGCCACGGTCTTGAAGATTGGAACGTGATCTCCATTTTCTTCAACGGAATCAGAAGACAGTACCGAGATGCTCTGAATAATGCTTACCGGAATGGTTTCACAAGAATGGAAGCACCAGAAGCATATGAACTGGTGGAGAAGATATGCTCTAAAGATACTGAATGGGGTAGTGAGACCGGCATTCGAAGGAGAGGAGGCTTGCATGAGATAGACAGAGTTGCAAGCCTAGAAGCAAAGATTGATGCTAAGCTGGATTCCAAGTTCGATGCACTCGAACGAAGGCTGGCTAAGTTGGCTCTTGGTAGACAGGAGGAAGTTGCTTATTGCGAATTATATGAAGGTGCTCATCATAGGGATCTATGTCCACTGGTGGCTGATCAGGTGGAAGATGGGCACTATATCAACAATCAGAGAAATCAAGGCCAGGGTGGTATGTATTCGAATACTTACAACCCACAATGGAGGAAGCATCCTAACTTTTCCTGGGCGAACAACAACCCAAATGGTGCTCGCAACATTCCACCTCCAGGCATGCAGAAACAACAACCTCCACCTCAACCAGAGAAGAAACCACAACTTGAAGAATTGCTTCTGGCTCACATGCAAAAAACCGACAATAATCTGAAGGGCCTGGATCAGTTTGTCACTCAACAGCTAGCCATCAACAATAATTTACAATCTTCTATGCTAGCTATGGAGAGGTAGATGGGACAGATGGCTCAAACTCTGGCGGATATGCAGGGCAGGATTCCTGGGACATTACCGGCTAATACCGAGAGGAATCCAAAAGATGCTAAAGTTGTGGCAGTGACATTGAGGAGTGGTAAGGCCTTGGAAGACCCTAGCAGCTCGAAAAAGGCACCGGAGGCAGAAGAGGAAGCACCGGGAGAAAGATCTTGTGCAGAAGGTGAAGAATCAGTCTTGCACAGGCAAAATGAAAGTGGTTTGCCTGTGCAAAAGCATGCTGCCCGTGCAAAACCAGAAGAGGAAAAAGCGAAGAGGGAGGAGCTAAAACCTTATGACCCACCCGCACCATTCCCTCAAAGGTTGATGAAGCCCCTGGAGGACCCGAACTTCAAAAAATTTGTGAATCTCTTCAAGCAATTGCACATCAACATTCCGCTAGCTGTAGCTCTTGAGCAAATGCCCACATATGCCAAATTTCTTAAGGAATTGTTGACAAAGAAGAGAAAATTGACTGATTTGGAGAAAGTAACACTCGCACCAGAGTGTAGTGCTGTTATCCAAAATAAATTTCCAGAGAAGAGGGAAGATCCAGGGAGCTTCACCATCCCATGTATTGTTGGTGAGACAGAGTTTACAAAGTCGCTTTGTGATCTTGGAGCCGGCATAAACCTCATGCCATATTCTGTTTATAAGAAGCTGGGACTCCAAGATGTGATCAAGCCGACTCGAATTACTCTACAGTTGGCTGATCGATCAGTAAAGGTCCCCAAAGGTGTGGTGGAGAACGTGTTAGTGAAGGTGGGAAAGTTCATCTTCCCCGCCGACTTTGTCATTCTGGAGATGGAGGAGGACAAGGAAGTACCTCTCATTCTTGGGAGACCCTTCATAGCGACGGGGGGTGCTCTCATAGATGTCCAAAAAGGCGAGCTGACATTCAGAGTCTGTGGGGAAGAGGTAAAATTCAATGTACACCATGCAAGTAAGTACCCTAATGACTCTAGTGATGTGTTTGCGATGGATGTCATAGAATCATGCACTGATGCTATTTTGAACAATGATTATGATGCTGATTCTGAGTTTGATGATTCTGACAATGAACTTGATGAGCTAACCGTGTCAAAGAGGGCACAAATGCTCGAGGCATTGCCTATGCAGGTGGAAGGTGATGAAAAGGCTAAGTTTCCAGAGAAAATGGTTCCATCTCGGATCCAGCCTCCGGAAGTGGAACTAAAACCATTGCCTAGTCACCTTAAGTATGCATATCTGGGGGAAAACTCCACTTTACATGTTATTGTTTCTGCTACATTGACTGATTTGCAGGAACAGGAGCTCTTGAAGGTCTTACGCCAGCACATACAGGCGTTAGGCTGGACAATTGCCGGCATCAAAGGCATTAGTCCGGCATTTTGTATGCATAAGATCCTTCTAGAGGAGGAGTCCAAGCCCTCCGTCCAGGCACAACGGAGACTAAACCCGCACATGAAAGAAGTAGTGCATAAAGAGGTAATGAAGCTATTGGATGCAGGTATTATTTACCCTATCTCTGATAGTACTTGGGTTAGTCCCGTGCATGTTGTCCCTAAAAAGGGAGGTATGACAGTAGTGAGAAACGATAAGGATGAGATGATATCTACCCGAACTGTTACGGGCTGGAGAGTGTGTATAGATTATAGGAAGTTGAATGAGGCGACCCGAAAGGATCACTTCCCTCTTCCTTTTATTGATCAAATGCTCGAACGGTTAGCGGGTCATTCTCACTACTGCTTCCTAGATGGTTACTCCGGTTATTTTTAGATCCCAGTAGCACCAGCGGATCAAGAGAAAACTGCTTTTACATGTCCTTTTGGTGTTTTTGCATATCGTAGAATGCCTTTTGGATTATGTAATGCACCAGCAACCTTTCAGCGGTGCATGACTGCTATATTCTCTGACATGTTAGAATCAAGTCTTGAAGTTTTCATGGATGACTTCTCGACTTTTGGTACTAGCTTTGAACATTGCTTGGCTAACCTGTCTAGAGTTTTGAAGAGATGTGAAGAGACTAATCTAGTCTTGAACTGGGAAAAATGTCACTTCATGGTGACAGAAGGTATAGTGCTTGGTCATCGAATTTCGGCGAGGGGGATAGAAGTTGATAAAGCTAAGATTGAAATCAGAGAAAAACTTCCCCCTCCCAGCACAATAAAAGGAATTAGAAGTTTTTTAGGTCATGCCGGTTTTTACCGGAGATTTATTAAAGACTTCTCAAAGATCACCAAGCCTTTATGCGATTTGTTGGCCAAAGATACTGTGTTTAACTTCTCTTATGAGTGTTTGCAGGCCTTCAATCGACTTAAGAAGGAGTTAACCTCTGCTCCCATTATCACTGCACCCGACTGGACTTTAACATTTGAAATTATGTGCGATGCTAGCGACTATGCAGTCGGGGCAGTTTTGGGGCAGAGGAAGGAAGCTAAGTTGCATGCGGTGTACTATGCAAGTAAGCTTCTTAATGATGCACAATTGAACTATTCCACGACTGAAAAAGAACAGCTTACTGTGGTGTTAGCTTTTGATAAATTTCGATCTTATTTGATGGGATCGAAAACAGTTGTGTACACTGACCATGCAGCTGTAAGGCACCTTCTTTCAAAGAAGGAGGCCAAGCCGAGATTGCTTCGTTGGGTTCTTCTTTTGCAGGAATTCGACGTTGAAATTCGGGACAAGAAAGGTTCGGCTAATCTGGTAGCCGATCACCTTTCTAGACTTGAACTTGAGGCCATTCCTAAGGACAAGGTTGAGATCAATGAGTCTTTTCCAGATGAGCAACTTTATGCTCTCCTTGTCCAACAAGCTCCCTGGTATGCAGATCTTGCGAACTATCTCGCCACAGGTAAGCTCCCTGATTTGTCTTATCAACAGCGCAAGAAGTTCATTACTATTGCCAAGAATTATATATGGGAAGACCCCTTCCTGTATAAGCATTGTGCTGATACCATGGTAAGACGATGTATTCCTGAGTGTGAGGTAAAGTCAGTGCTAAATTTATGTCATAGTATGGCCGCAGGAGGCCACTTTGGACCTCATAGGACAGCAGCAAAGGTGTTACAATCTGGATTTTATTGGCCTTCTCTATTTTAAGATGCCCGTGATTTTGTTGCTCAATGTGATAGGTGCCAAAGAACAAGGAACATATCTGAAGGATGGAGATGCCGCAGACCTCGATTTTGGAGGTAGAGATGTTTGATGTATGGGGAGTGGATTTCATGGGGCCATTCCCACCGTCTTTCAACAACAAATATATCTTAGTCGCAGTCGACTATGTATCCAAGTGGGTGGAGGCAGTGGCGTTGCCCAGCAATGACTCAAAGATGGTGGTGAATTTCTTGAGGAAGAACGTGTTCACCAGATTCAGAGTCCCTCGAGTTCTCATCAGTGACGAGGGCACACACTTCATGGGAAAGGAGTTGAACACGTTGCTGGCCAGATATGGGGTTAAGCATCGAGTTGCTACACCCTATCATCCACAAACCAGCGGGCAAGTGGAAGTTTTTAACAGAGAACTGAAACACATTCTGGAGACGACGGTGAATTCAACAAGGAAAGATTGGGCAAGGAAGTTAGATGATGCACTCTGGGCATACCGGACTGTTTTCAAGACTCCTTTAGGCATGTCTCCGTACAGATTGGTGTTTGCAAAAGCTTGCCACTTGCCCGTCGAGCTCGAGCATAAGGCGTACTGGGCTATCAAGAAGCTGAACTTTGATCTAAAAACTGCTGGAGAGAAGCGCCTGTTGCAACTAAATGAGCTCGACGAGATTAGGCTTAATGCCTATGAAAATGCCCGGATTTATAAGGAGAAAACCAAGAAGTGGCACGATCACCACATACTGAGAAGAGAGTTCAAGGTGGGAGAGAAGGTATTACTTTTCAACTCACGCCTTAAACTCTTCCCTGGAAAATTAAAGTCAAGGTGGTCCGGACCATTTACGGTGACCAAAGTGTACCCACATGGTGCAATCGAGATTCTTCGTGATCAAGGGGCGTTTAAGGTGAATGCTCAGAGGCTCAAGCACTATATTGAAGGGGTTTCCGTCCTGGAAATCTCAACATATCATCTGGAATGAGCTATTTCACGTCAAGCTAGCGACGCAAAACAAGCGCTTCTTGGGAGGCAACCCAAGGTGAGTTTTTCTTTCAAATTTTTTCATTTTTTAGTTTTAGGGTGTGTCTAGAGGCTCTCCGCCAAATTTCAGCTCCAAAAGCCTTGAGGAAGGTATTATTTTGTGTTATGTAGGTACACGGGCAGGCTTTTTTTACACAGGGAGGCCGCAAAATTAGCACAGGCAAACCGCAAATGTGGGTAGAGGACTAATCTGAAAGTTTGGGGGGGGGGGGGGGGGGGACTGATCTGGCATTTTTTTAGGAGGAAGGGGGGACTAAAAGGGAGAAATTTCGTTTCTGTAAAAAAAAAATCAAACGCGCAACGTTTCATTTAAAAAATAAAAAAAAAATTTGACAGAGTCGGGGTCGGGCTCCCTCCCCCTTCCCCTTCCTCTTCCTCCCTTCTTCCTCTTCCCTCCTCCCCGTCGGACTTCCCTCCAGCAGCAGACTCGTCGACTCCCCCAGCAGCAACCGGCGCCGCCCCTCTTCGCCAAGCACCGGCGAATCAGCCGGCCAGCCCCCTCGCGCGACAACAGTGCCGGCGACCAGCAGCAACCGACCCAAGCCCCGCGCCGCCGCCACTCTCGCCCACCGCGAGGCCGTCTCCGGCGGTCGTCGCCGGGCCCAGCGCCCCCCCCCCCCCCCCCCCCCCCCCCCCCCCCCCCCCTCTGACCCAACTCGCTCCAATCACCCACCTCCCCCCAGGTCTGATTTGAACAACCTAGAGTTGAAGATTCAAGAACAAAAAAAAAATAGGGTTCTTCAAATTGGGGGTTTTGCTCCATTTCGAATTTGGGGTGAAATTGGAGTGTGTTGATTGCTTGATTGGGCCAATTGAAGTGCAATTACTGTCTACAAGAATATTTGCAGAAGATTTATGGGTGAATCTTGAGAATTGGTTGATTTGAGGGTTACAGAATTTGGGGATTTTCTGATTGTGGAAGCAGTAAGCTGGAATTTGGGAAGCAGAGTACAGATTTGTGCAAACTTGTTGATTCAAGAGCAGAGGGGAGGTTTAAGAAGTTTGTTTTCCAGTTTGCACTCTTGGTTGCAGATATGGAACATCGAAGATATACCCCTCCACCTCGGCGGTTCAAGGTAACCGATCAAAGTGAAGATGGGAAGATTGTTTACCGTTCGTGGATGATTGAAGACAGCCACAAGGTGACCGATAAAGACAGCCCAATTCCAGAAGTTCCTCCACAACTTCAAGCAGTCAACATACCTGCTCGATTTCACAGGGTGATCACCGGCCAGGTTGGACCCACGATGCGGTCCCGGACCATTGAGATGACTTCTCCAACTCCATCTCCACCACAGCAGCCTGCTCAAATGCCTACTGAAGAACCTCCATTACCAGATTCAACACCAGTTGTATCACCGGAGAGCAGGCCAGCAAAGAGGAGTCGTCTCCAGCAACCAAGCTCATCTTCACGATCACAGATGCCTTCTTCTTCAGCACCTGCACCATCCACGACACCACGTCGTACTAGCCTAAGTGCAAGCAAGAAGAAGGCTGGCACTCCTCCTCCAAAGGACGTCTCTAAGACGTTCGGTCAACCTGTCCAGCTCCAGAAACATAAGGAAGAATATGTCGATCTGATGAAACGAGCGGTCACCCCTTCTCAGTTCATGGACTATGCAGCATTCCAGAAGACCGAGCGGGCTGAGGAGGTGATGACATACTTCCGCCGGATGAATTGGGCACGATTTCCGGAGCTGCACTTCCCCACATATCCACACCTCACCAGAGCATTCTTGGCCACATACAGCTTCGAGGGTAATGGGGTTGAGAGCAAGCTTCAGAGTACTTTGGCCGGGAAAACCAAGTCCCTCTCTTTGAGCCAAGTAAACAGAGCACTTCTCTTCGATGGTCCAGCAGATGCAATTCCTGATGAAAAGCAGGACTTGACTGAGTTTTGGACGACAATTGTGGCAGATGGAAAGGACTTCAATCCTACTTCTTCGAGGAGAGCATCGATCAGAGACCCGATGATCCCACTAGTACATGACTACCTGGCTCGCACTGTCTTGGGAAAGGGATCCAATGCCAGTGGTGTCTACACCACCAATCTCAGGTACATTCACAGTTTCGTTACTGGAACACCATTGTGTGTTGGGTACATGGTGGGTAAAATGCTTGAAAATGATGCACTGAAGACTTGCGGAGCAATTATGTGTGGGGAATCATTACTGCATTAGCTCGAGCTTACTGGGGGTTCCCGGAGAACCCTACGGGTTTGGAGATTAGTGATGGCTCGACTCTGCTTGGGGAAGCAGCATTAGGCAAATTGGGTTTTCTGAGAAAAGCAGGATCTTGTGGAGAGTATCTATCTATCGCCAAATACAAAGAGTGGGAGACCAAGGTCAATCGGAAAAGGGCAGCAAGGGCTGCTAGAGCAACTTCTGCTTCGGCATCATCTGCCGCACCATCAGTAGCCACTCCGACCACAGCAGCGGGGCACTCGGCCTCGAGTGTCAGCCAGGGCCAGCAGTCACATCCTCCTCCAGCTCCGCATCCAGAAGAGACTCCACCAGTTGTACCAGCTTCACCATCATCTGCAGACGAGCTCAGAGCCAGAATAGCTATCTTGGAAGCCAGAGACGCAGAGAAAGATAAGAAGATCCAGGAGCTAAACCGACGTCTAGATGAGAAGCTCGGCACTTCTTCATCGACCCCTCCTTCATAGGAGCTTGTCCCGAGGTTCTTATTTCTTTTCTTTTCTTTTCTTTGTGAATACTACTCGTAGTGAATGATGGTCTGTATAATGTTAGTTAGGTGAACCTATTGGTGTGTTGTGTGTAGTCATAGACATTGTGGACAATGTCCATCCTGAGTGTGGGGTGGATGGTCTGTGTTCTTGTCGTGTTTTATGTCGAGTCGTAGTTGTCCACAGTGTCTCTCGTCTTGTGTAAAAAAAAAATTGCCATTAGGTTGAGCACAGCCAAACTGCATGCAGTTTGCCTGTGTAAAAAGCAGGCTGCCTGTGTTAATCTAATGGCTAAAAAACACCTAAAAATCAGAAAAAATAAAAACAAAACCTTGTACTCTTGTGGTAACATGATGTAAATGACTGTGATGCGTGTGATATGAGTTTGTGCTTGAATGAAATCATCGAAATCACCCCACTAGTGTTGAATTGCATAGTTCTTCACAATGAGTTGGAATTTTTTGACTGACTTGATGTGCTTGGAATGAGCAAACTCTTTTAGCAACATTCTCTTTTGTGAGGATAGTGTAACGACTTTTGGTGAAGTAGTTAGGTGGAGAACATTGACCATTCGATATGTTTGGATACCGTGCTTACTTGCATCAGTTGTGAACTTTTGATTTTGCAATGAGTCTCTCTGTTTTGAATGTTTTATGATGGGGTGAACTGTATCTTCATAAAAGAAAACACTACCTGACAAGTAAAATATAAGAAAGTTGCCATAACAATTAAAGTGTGGGTAAAAATGCCAAAATCGTGTGAGGCAATCACTCATTGCACATGGGGATGAGGAAAGATTCAATTGAGAATCGGTTCGCGACCGTACGATGTTGCTTATCAAGTACGATCCTCAGTAGAGTGAAGTGCCATTAGAGGATGCAATGACCCTCCACACGGACCGAGGATAAGGAGTTAAAAGAAGCCCTTATGCTAGTGCTAAGAAGCAGAAATTGCTCTTGCTCGGTCACCGGTAGTAAGAAACAAATCCCACTTGTACTAAATACGACCTCTCGGCAAGCAAAAGCAGAAAGAGAGAAAGCCTCTCCTTGTCATAAAAGGTAGTGATGTGCTTAAAGTTAAAATCATGTTTGCGAAAGGTTTCCCCCATTAGTTTTTGAAACTCATGCATAATTAATTGCTTATGATTGGTGTGAGTAAGCCAGACTGTCCTCACGAGATATGCACCTCATTGATGTGGTTAGATTCTCCTAATAATTATTGCACCATAAGTTGTTAATCACCCACTACCGACGATCGAAATTGAGTGTTGCTATTTGAGTTTTTGATGGATTCGAGTCAGTCAATGGTAATGGTTGCAAAGAACTTGAGTGTGGGGTGAAAAGTATGACCATTAAAGCACAACTTGTAGGTTGAGAAATAAACTATTGATTACAACAAGAGTACAAGGAAAATTTTTTGTTTTGCTTTGAGTGTTTGATTAGTGAGTCTGTAATGTGTCATTGTTTTGGTTGATTGTGTGTTTGTGTTGTTTGAGTCGTTGCTTAGGGACAAGCAACAATTGAGTGTGGGGTTGTGATATTCGGCTTTAACATATTGGATTCTTGGACTTTATGTGATTATCCGTGGTATGTTTTAGCAAATTGGTGTTATGTTAGGGCTCGTTAACCCGAGAATGGTTGAAAAACCATTACTGCCTGGTGCCATGAGTTTGATATGATACAGGTGGAGAAAGCACGAAAAAGAAGTGAGTGGACAACAAGTAATTGGGCCAAAGCCCAAATTGATGGGATTTTGGGAATTTGCTGGAGGCAGAGATTTGGATGGGCCAAGGTGATTAGGTGGCGGGGACTTAATTCTTACACGGGCTGGAGGAAGGAAGAAGAGCTGGGCCAAAAGTGGAGGGCCATTTTATTTTGGGCCAGGTCGCTGAGATGATTGTGGACGGGCCAAAGGAATTTCTCTTTTGGAGGCAATTAAGGGGAGACTTCTATTTTTTCTTGGTTTTGGGGCGGAACTTTATTCTGGGTGAGGAACGAAAATTCTTTGGCAAGAGAAAGCGAGGGCGAGCAGCGCAGCTTTGGCGACCAGGCGATTCACCGATTGGCGATCGAGCTGTTCAAGGCTTGAGCCGAATTCAACGAGAGCGATTAGTTGGTTGGATTCTCTTAACCGAATTAGTTGTTTCTTGTTGATTTAGAACATGATGAACAAAACCCTATCGATTTATCTTAATTTCGTCATGAACTAAACCCCAATTTCTGTGGGAAACACCATAGGATGTAACTATTTCTTGATTTGATGGATTGATTTATGATTCTTTTCTTCCAATCTCTATTGCATGAAATTGCTTAATGCTTTGTGTTGACTGGCCACCAATACAACGATTTGTTGTTAATTAGGTTATTAGCGACAGTGAAACCCTAATAACTGAACCTATTTCATGTGACATAGTAACTTATCGAAGCGACAGTGGATTAAATAAGGTGCTATGCGGTCTTAAATAGGATATCGATCTTCAGGCTAAACAATTAGGTCATTGAACTACGACAGTAGGATTTGATTTAATTGTTTAGTACGTAGTAATTCCCGACAGGGATAGCTAGCACATTCGTGATATCCTAGTTGTAGAGAATTGGATTAAACTGATTAGAATATGTGAATTAATTTGGACATGATAGGTAGTGAATCCCGGTGTTTCTCCCAGAGCTTTCTCCCATTGAATTAAACCCGACATTTTAATTTGCTTGTTTTGTTTAATTATTTTGCTTTTAGTTAATAATTTCATCTCTTAAACATTTTCACATATAGTTTGCTCGAAAGAATTGATAAATCATAAGGTTGTACCAGTCCCTGAGAGACGATACCCGGAATTTCCGGTTTACTACGAGATAGGAAATTGGCATATACGCTTTTGCCCTATCAAGTTTTTGGCGCCGTTGCCGGGGACTGCCATACCTTATTTTTGTTGATTTTAGTGAGTGAACTATTTTGATCTGGGTGTTAGTGTGCAGGTGAATTTTTCAGGTTAATCCTCCTCGTGCATGCCAAGGAGGACGACTGGCAATATACTGCCACTAGATCCCGAGATCGAGAGGACCTGCTGATAGAATAGGAAGCAGGCCAAGTTAGGGAAGCAGCCTACCACATCCACAACTCCTAGGCCTTCCCTAACTCAGAATCGTCAACCGAGAAGGCAGATGTCACCACCTGTCATCCCTACACCACCACAGGGCTGAGAAACTTGTACCCACTGCTGCTCCAACCACAACTTGGCTCCCTGTGTGCAGTTTCTGCGATACTCTTAGCCACGACTGCCAATGGAAACAATACAAAAAAAAATTAAAAATTAAAAATTTTCACCACCCCAGAGATCAAGTTACGCATCCTTGACATGGAATTATGAAATATTTTGTTCATAAAGTTAGACTATGTGAATTCATATTAATATGTTACATGCGTAGGCGATCATTTACTCTCCAAATGCCAGGTTCGAGGTTGCTAGTGATGACAATGGTTGGGGCGAGGCGGATATATCAATACCCATGTCTGCTCCACATTAAGCGCGAGTCAGGTTTAGTAACATTTGGGCAGGTATGAGTAAATTCTGCATATTCTTATACACGTTTTGTAGAAAAGAACGTTCATATTTAACTATTTTACAATAAAACAGTAAAAAAGAGAGAAAACGTTTCATAAATTATTTAGAGAAATAATAGGAGTAATTAAGTCTATATGATTGCAGATGGAGTCTTACAATTTTTTGGGATGAAAATAAATATTTTAAAAAGGCCAATAAAAAGAAGAATCACAAGTAGATATTCATGATGTCCTGATGATAAACAGATCGAGAATGAAGCGAGACAGCACGAAGCAAGCCTCTGTATTGGATAAAAGCCACCCAAACAAATCGGGTAGCTCGCGTCGTATAAAAAATTGACGTTTGCACCATATCATATCTGATTGTGGGAATTGAGAACGTAACAATATATGCCCTAAATTCAGCTGAAGCTATAGAAAGATCGTACTTACGAAATAGGAGGCACATGCCAAAAGTAATGCACTGAGGATGACTGAAGTAGCATTTACTCCTAGCCATTCAAGAGCTGCATGCAACACGAAATTCAGAACCCAATTATATTATTATAGTAATATAACTTGTTGAATACTAAAAGAACTATCACCAAAACCAAACAATGTAAAATATATTATTTTATTTTATATATTACAATGCATGTATTTGATCACAATACATTGATTTGAATATCACTAAAACCAAACGACCCCTAAATCTCAAGTTCTGGTTGAGATTGTTTAGTAGAGATTGTTGGGTTTTGTTTTGTTCCAACTATATCTCTGCCTTTTTATGTGTGTTGCCTTTTTAATATTAAAAACAAAGGATAAAAGTGACATTCTGGTCGAAAAATAATATAACTTATTTCAATATTTGAATAATTATCACAGAAATCAAAAGATGTAAACTACAATACACCAATTTTCTTATATACATGTATATTATTAAGTATGTATTTATGACAATTCACCAATTTAACTATCACCAACACCAAACAAACCCAAGGTTAGTGCACGTATAGTAAAACATATGATTCATCAATCTTGAGTCTATGTATTCTCTCCTATCTTTTCGGAGGCGAGAAAATCTTTTTACGTGCGATAGCTAGGGTTTGCGATCTTTATGGTGGCGCAATCGCCACCGACGGCAGTTGGTAAACCGTTGGACAACACGAGTGGGGTAATGAGGCCTTCTGAGGGTTCATCGACCCCGGATGGCAAGAGTGCAAGGGAAACAGTCTAGCCGAAGAAGAAGAAGGTACGAGCTCTGAACCTGGATGATATGACGACAGGAGACGATGATGAACCTGAAATGGAGATGGAAACTGACAAGGAGGAGCGTACCAATCCTCCAGTCGGGCAGGGATGGAAGGGCGAAAGTTTTAGCGAAGCCGTGAAGCAAGATACTTGGTATATCGTCTAGTCTGACTCAGAAGACGTGGCTCTTAGGGAAAAGGAGATGGATGAAGAAGTAGATGACGCAGAAGAAGATCCAACATGCCTGACAATTCCTTTTACGGAGGCTGAGAAGATACTAATGGAGAAGGGAATGATGGTCTGCGTTGGTGATCAAAGGGCTAGGGCGAGGGGTGCCGTATATTCCCTTAGCCCGATGCCTTAATTTCTTGTGGGAAAGGAATGGTGAGATACAGATTCCGGACATGAACAATGGCTACTTCCTGGTTCATTTTTGGAGCCACAAGGATTATGAAGGGGCGACGATGGGTGGTCCCTGGTTGTTGGGAGATACATACCTTGCGGTTCACCGGTGGTTCAAAGGCTTTAACCTATGAAAGACAGAGGTGACATCAACGATGGTATGGGCACAGCTCCCGGAGGTACCGATAGAATTCATTAACAAGGAAGCGGTTATGAGTATTGGGGAATGGTTGGGAAAACCCGTTTGGGTGGATCGACCAACTGAACTTGGAGCTCGCGACAAATATTCTCGTGTATGTGTTGATGTAGATCTCACTCCGACACTTATATCGAAGTTCAAAATAGAAGGAGTGACGTATTTGGTCTAGTATGAGGGACTAGATGATCTATGTACGGACTGTGGTACATATGGGAAGAAAACTGGTAAATGCCATTGTATTCCAACGAGTCTGGCAATGGAGACAGAGGAAAATAAGGAAGAGGAAAATAATGTGGGGATTGATCCCTCCTAAGGTCAAACCTATGGTGAATGGATGAAGGTCAAGACGCGTAATTGGTACCAGGGAAGGCACGAGGGGCGTGTAGGAAAAGATGGAGGGAAACTACACAAAAATCGTTTCAAGGAGTTAGCTGAAAAAGACAAGAATGAAGAGAGCGTGATTGTGGAAGAACCTCATGTGGACAGTGATGAAGGGCAGTCAAAGGGAGACAAAAAAGGGAGCAGAGGCGGTACGTACACATGCCCATGCAGAAGAAGGGAATCCCAACTTAAAGAAGAAGGCTACTGCCCCTATAGCCTAAAAAATCCATGCACCAGGACCGCCAAGCCAGAAAAAAGAAAAATTTCCAAGTGTCCCGAAAAGAAAAAGAGTTGAGTAAGCAGGGGAAATTAAATCATAAAGAAGTTGATGAGAGCACTGCTCACGGAAAAGGAGATAGTGGGATCAAGAAAGACCAAAAGAAAATTGAGGCTTCCCATAGTAAAGTCAATCGAAAAGATCCGAGAGGGCATCGAACCCAAACAAATGTTGATGGCGCGGGGAACCGATCCCCTTCGGGTCATAGATTAGAATCTTATGTTATAACTGTCATGGTCTAGGAAACACACGAGCATTTTGATCAGTGAAGTTGTTGTTGCGACATTTTTCCCCCAAGTTGTTTTTCTTATGGAAACGAAACAACTTCGGGTTGAAAATGAGAAGACAAGGTTATAGCTTGGATTTAAATTTGGGACGAGTTGGCCTTGTGACGTATCGAGAGGAGGAAGAGCATGTGGTCTCTCGATGTGGTGGGGAGAGGATGTAAGAGAGATGGTAATGAAGGAGGATTTCCGCTTCATTGACCTGAATATTGAGGAAGGGCATGATGTAGCTTGGAGGTTTACGGGGGTTTATGGTTGGCCAGAAAGTCAGGATAAACATCGTACTTTGGCACTAATTCGTAACCTGTTAGATGTCTGGGGAGGACCTTGGATTTGTGGTGGTGATTTCAATCATATATGCCCCATTCATGCTTTCCACAATTCAGAGACAACCTTCCAGCGCCAATCTTCCTCACCATCCACTATTTACATGCTACGTACCATTCCCCACCATGAACCAAGAGCGGCCTGCTTATCTTACTCCACCGCTTGCTCAATTCTCGAGGGATCTCATTGCGCTACCTCGCTTTGATGAATCCCACGTGCCTCTTACTCCAACTCGTCCAGCTACCCCTCTACAAGTCAAACCGGAATTGGCGCCATCCAATTCTATCCTTGCGACGGTAACGGCGATAAACCAACAGTTTGGTTTTCTTGCGGGAGGATGGAGGAACCAGATGGGGAGTAGTAGGGATTTTGCGGCCGCTCCATTCCACATAGCTAAGTAGAGGGTTTAGTCTAGGGCTAATCTCTTTTAGAACTATATATATAATTATTATTATTATTATCACCCTTAATCCATAATCACAGTCCCTCCGTCATGCAACGATCAATTTGGGCCATGCTGAATAGTTAGGCCTTGGTCGTTAACGTGGTTTGGTTTGGTTTGGTTTGATTTGGAGTTCTCGTACGTAATCGTTGATCCAAATATTCTTTTATCATGGTCGAACCTGAACCCAAAAGTCGGGATGTTACAGAATGAGGAGATTAAATGGGGATGTTCGTTTTGGTTTGAATCTTTGTGAGCAAAACACGAGGGTTGTGGGGAACAGGTCAAAGAAGCGTGGGACTCGGCTCCTGGCCATGCAATCTCGAAGATGAGTTTGGTGCAGTCAAAGCTAGACCAGTGGAGCCGAATCACCTTTCCAAATTTCCGAAGGCAGAAGGATAAAATTAAAAGAGCTTTAAAGGCTTTGGAAAGGCAAGAGAAGACTGAACAGATGATGGCGCAGAGGCATTCTTTACAACAAGAGCTTGATGAAATTGAGTGTTATGAAGAACTTTATTGGCAGCAACGATCTAGAACGAATTGGCTTCGGGAGGGGGACAAAAATACAAAAATTTTCCACCGCAAGACATCATCGAGACGCCGAAGAAACACAATCCGAAAGGTCCAAGATGAAACCGGAGCGTGGTAGAGAGGAACAGACGAAGCCCTGCAGTGTTTTACTAATTATTTTATTCATCTTTTTACCGCAGGTGAACGTTCGGCGGAGACCCCAGTCATGGAGTCGGTGGGAACTCGCGTAACCGAGGAAATGAATGAAAGACTGTTGCTGCCACTGACAAGGGAGGAGCTGTTTGGGGCCCTTAGGCAGATGGGCAAGAGGAAAGTGTCAGGGGAGGATGGTATGTATGTGCTTTTCTTCCTTAAGTACTAGCATATAATCGGCGATGATGTCACACAGTTGTTGCTCGGAGTGGTAGAGAATGAAACAATGCCTCAGGATTTAAACCACACGCTTTTGGCTCTAATCCTGAAGGTGAAGGACCCAAAGTTGGCAAAAGAGTACAAACCCATCATTTTGTGAAACGTGATGCACAAGATGTTATCGAAGGCGCTGGCGAACCGTTTGAAATTACTCTTAGACAAGTTCATATCACTGGAATAGAGTGCTTTCGTCCTAGGTCATTTCATTGCTGATAACGTAATGACTGCCTTTGAGTAGCTTCCACACCATGAAGAAGAAGACAAAAATAAAACAGGCTACTTAGCCACCAAAACTGATATGGAGAAAGCTTATGATAGGGTCGAGTGGTGGTTTCTAGAAGGGATGATGCAGCGGTTGGGTTTTGCAGCAAGGTGGATTAGACTGATTATGTTGTGTGTTCAGTCATTGACATACGCGGTTCTGGTGAATGGTCACAGATCACAGACGTTTGTACTGAGTAGGGGACTGAGGCAGGAGACCCCTGTTGCCGTACCTTTTTCTATTAGAAGCGGAGGGCTTGTCATTCTATACATCCCTCGCCGTTAATAAGAAAAGGCTACATGGGCTTTCGGTAGCTAGGGGGCCTCCGGTCATCTCACATCTTTTTTTTTTTTTTTTTTGCTGACGACTCTATCTTCTTTGCTAGTGCAACGGAGAAGAAGAGTCGCGAGCTGAGAAGGGTGCTCGCTGACTAGGAAAAGTAATCGGGCCAGCTAGTTAGTTTGGAGAAGTCGGAAGTGACCTTTGGAGCAAACGTGAAGCCGCATCAACGATTATTGGTGAGCTCGACGTTGGGAATGAGGGCGTTGGATAAACACAACAAGTACTTAGGCCTCGTGATCGAGGTTGGCAGGTCCAAAACAAAGCTCTTTGTCTAATTGAAGGACCAAGTTTGAAAGAAGCTGGCAGGGTGGAAAGAGAAGACGATGTCAGCTGCAGCAAGTGAAGTTCTGATAAAGTCGGTAGCTCAAGCTCAACTGATTTATACGATGTCTGTTTTTAAGGTTCCCGATGGGATTCTAGATGAGATACATGGGTTAATTACCCGGTTTTGGTGGGGGCAGAAAGGAGAAGAGAGAAAGACCCCATGGGTGGCGCGGGAGGCCCTTATTTGTACGAAGGAACAAGGGAGTATGGGCTTTCGGGACCTGAGAGGTTTCAATTAGGCTTTGCTTGTGAGGCAACTTTGGCACTTGTATCAAAGACCGACGTCCTTAGTAGCACGAATCATGAAGGCAAAGTATCATAAAAATGTTGTCATTCTTGAGGCTCGTGTTGGCTACCGACCCAGCTATGTTTGGCGAAGTCTGATGAGTGCTCAAGAGTTCCTGGTTGATGGTCTACGATGGAGAATCGGGAATGGTTCTGCTGTTCGCATATGGGGGGACCACTGGCTGCCCTCAACTCCGAATAACATTATTCAGTCCCCTCCAATGGGTCTCCCGGTAGACTCGGTAGTCCGCAAATTGATTGTCAAAGAAGAAGAGAAATGGGATGACACCCTTCTGGATAGTTGCTTCCCAACTAACATGGTGCAAGCCATCAACCAAATCCTTTTACGCCATCCCGAAGAACAGGATCGTCTGATTTGGGTGGCAGTGTTGATGGGCAGTACACGGCCAAGGGAGGATATAAGACTTGGTTGAGTAATTATCAGCAGCAACGTGAGTCACAAAGTGTTGGTGATCCGGCTCTTTGGAAGCTACTTTGTCGCTAAAGCTACCGCCGAAGGTGAAGGTATTTATGTGGAAGTTTACAAGAGAGGCTTTGGCTACTGAGGAGAAAGTTCACAAACGCAATGAGCAACTAAGTGGGACGTGTCCATTTTTTTATCAACCAGAAACGCAATTGCATGCGTTTTACTCCTCATAGGCAAGCAGGTTGTGGCGGGCCTCGGCAGTAGCTCATTGTTTTGAATTAAGAGCAGACCACACCTACATGGATTGGGTTCGTCAGGTCATCAAGACAGTCCCGATGAATGAGCTTGAAGAATGGATAGTGTCATTATGGTCGTTATGGAAGGAACGTAATGCGCACCTGTTTAATGGGAGGAAGACAGAAGAGAATGACATTGTACCAAGGGTGCAATCCTATCTGGAGGAATATCGCCATCAACAGCAAGATTTGGAACATATGCCACATCCCGCTGTTTGTCAATCCTGGTTACTGCCGCCAGCTGGGAGCATAAAGCTGAACACGGACGCAGGTTTGGATGCTGAAGGAGCAGGGATGGGAGTATTAGCACGAGACCATAATGACACTTTCATTTTGGCAGCGGTGAAAAGGATGAAAGGAGTCTGAGACCCGACACTGGGAGAATCGTTGGCAGTCGAGTTCAGTTTCCACTTAGCTCGCCAACACCATCTCGCCTTGCCCATGGTGGAGACAGACTGTCAGGTTGTGGTAACAAAACTGGGAATGGTGAAGGATATCCAAACATAGATGGGAATTGTACTTAGAAACATAAGAAGATTGGCGGCTGAATCTGGAGAAGGGCAAGTATAATATGCTAGTAGAAATGCTAATGAGACGGTGCACATTATGGCTCATTCGAGAGCGAGATGGGACATTGCAGAGATTTGGTTTGATAGGCCACCGCTGAATTTGTTGGATCAATTAAGTAGGGACAATGTAACTTTATTCTCGTCTTAATAAAACTGAAGCTCACGATAAAAAAAAAAAAAAAACAAACCCAACTCCATGAAAAAAGAAGTGCAGAGTATAGATTTTGTTTTTTATATCCAAGATATATTCCTTTGGAAAAAGAGAAATTCAGACCGTCTATCTTCTCTCTCCCTGATTTAGATACGTATATAAATATCTACTCATTCACATTTCACACCCAAGATTAATACAGCTCTGCCTCTTCTACCGAATAGCAAATCTCTCTCTCTCCTCTCCTCTCCTTCTCCTTCTCCTTCTCTCTCTCGCCCTTTCTCTATCTAGAAAAATGATAACCGGCAAGGAATTCTACCAAGTCCTTTCCGCCCTAGTCCCCTTATACCTGACAATGGGGCTCGCCTACGCCTCCGTCCGGTGGTGGAAGATCTTCACCCCCGAGCAGTGCGCCGGCATCAACCGCTTCGTCGCCGTCTTCGCCGTCCCTCTCCTCTCCTTCACCTTCGTCGCCTCCAACAACCTCTACCGCATGAACTACCGCTTCCTCGCCGCCGACACCATCCAAAAAGCCTCCCTCCTCATCCTCCTCCTCCTCCTCTCGAAAACCCCTCTCCTCCGCCGCCGCCGCCGCCACACCACCGCCTCCTCCTCCTCCTCCTCGTTGGACTGGGTGATCACGCTCTTCTCCCTCTCCACCCTCCCCAACACCCTTGTCGTCGGAATCCCGCTCCTCGCCGCCATGTACGGCGACTTCACCTCCCCTCTCATGGTCCAGATCGTCGTCCTCCAGAGCATCGTCTGGTACACCATCCTCCTCGCCCTCTTCGAGTACCGCGCCGCCGTCCGCTTCATCGCCGACCAGTTCCCCGCCCCCGGGACCGCCGCCAGGATCTCGTCCGTCCGGGTCGACCCGGACGTGGTGTCGCTGTCGTCCAGCGGCGGGAGGACGGTGGTGGGGGCCAGCATCGCTGACGTGGACGAGAGGGGAAATATCCACGTGGTGGTCTCGAGGCTTTCCGCCAGCAGCACCGCCAGCTTTTCCGTCTCCTCGACCAAATCGCTCAAACAACAACAACAGGCGGCCCCTGCGGGGGCGATGACGGTGGTTAATAATAATAATAATAATAACAATGCGTCGTCGTATCGGGAGGCGGTCGGGGCGGGTACCTGCCCGCCGCGGGCTTCGGATCTGACGGGCGTGGAAATCTGGTCCGTTAGATCGTCGCCGAGGAACTCGAATTTCGTGGAGGAGGACGGAAATGTAGAGATAAAGAATATCGTGAGCGGGAGAAAGAGTCTTCAGCAGCACCACTGTAAATCCGGCGGCGGAGGAGGGGGGTCGATGTCGCGGCCGCCGCAGCTGCTGCATATGTTCAGTTGGAGCGGCACCAACAATACGTCGTCGTTTCCCGGGTACTACTACTCCCGCAATAATCTCAACGACAATTATAATAATTCCAATATTGGGATGAAGAAAAACAAGGTGGGGAGCTCGGACGGGGAGGTTGAGACGCGGACGGCGGGGGTTCAGGGTGAGACCAACGGCTGGGATCATATTCACATCACAGGTGCGGTCAAAGCTGTTGACTAACACCGTTGGTTTTTTCTTTTCTTTTTTTTCTTTCTTTCCTAGTTTTAGGTTGAAAAGTTGGACACGGAATTAGATGAGTTTTGGTATTTTTTGTTAATGAATTGAATTTGATTATGGCAGGGGAGAGGAAGGTTGACGTGGTGGAGGAGGAGGAGGAGGTGGAGGAGAAGAAGGGAATGGCGCCGAAGGGTGTAATGACGAAGCTGGTGCTGATTATGGTGTGGAAGAAGCTGGTTCGAAACCCTAACTCTTACGCGAGCCTATCCGGCGTCGTTTGGTCCCTTCTGGCGTTCAGGTGGAATTTGACGCTGCCGGCAATCGTGAAGAACTCGGTTTCCATACTGGCGAACACAGGACTGGGAATGGCGATGTTCAGCCTCGGTACTATTTTTCCATTGAGCTAGCTCCTTTGCTTTGATTCATTCATCGACCACAATCACGGGTCATATTGATTAATGGGGGATGATGGATGCAGGGTTGTTCATGGCGCTGCAGCCGAAGGTGATAGCGTGCGGGAAATGGATGGCGTTATTGGCGATGGTGGCTCGGTTTCTGCTGGGGCCAGGGTTGGCGGCTGCGGCCGCTCTCGCCGTCGGCGTTCGAGGTGTTCTCCTTCAAGTTACAATCGTTCAGGTGCGAGCTGGGTCCGATCGGGCCTCGATTTTCATAAAATGATAGCTGTATGGGCCGGCCCAGTTGGTTGATTTTGGGCTTTATGTGTATGAACTTGCAGGCTGCACTTCCCCAAGGGATAGTTCCGTTCGTGTTTGCCAAAGAGTATGATCTCCATCCGGACATCCTCAGCACCGCGTAAGTAACTTGCATTGCATCCGGATCTTCATTTTATTAGTTATTACCCACTCGACATGCATGTATTCTAACGTCTAAGTATAGATTGAAATCTAATTAAGGATATGTTCGGAGGATCGGAGTCTAAATCTACGGGTTTGAAATAATATAAAGATTTTAATTTTCTAGATTGTTGAAAAAGGATTTAAAAAGTTTATTGTTCGGTAGTTAACAATCAATGAAAAATAGATATTCTGATTTTTCTATCAAATGACTTATATACCCTTAACAATATAATCAAAATGCCTTGAGCAATATTGAGAATTTATTGGTTAGGGTATTTGTTGGGATAAATAAATAAATACAAAGAGAAAAGGTAGGAGAAAAAATCACAAAATCTAGATTATGAATCTCTCTAAGAGGTTTCATATCTCTAGATTTTAGATATTTGAAATCTCTAAACATAAAATCTATGATACAAAAAGTAGAAAAAAAAAACATAAATTTCTAGTGAATCTATGAATTTAGTGAATTCATGACGCGAATCATTTTCTCCAAACGAGCCTTTAGTGTAATGGGGGGAGGGGAGGGAGATTTCCTTTAATTGCTAGATGGGAATACAATGCTACTATATATGTGGTACCGTATAGTTAGAAAGTTGTTGGTATTTTTAGAGTCTGGTTCGTTTGGGTGGGAGATTTGGTTTTGAAGGTTTTTGTAAGAACTATTGATTTAGGTGTTAACGTCTAGGATTTCGCAATTGAGGACAATAAGGGAATTGGAGGAATTAGAGAATTAGATATTAGAAGAATAGATAGGAAATTATTTTAAGAATAAGAGAAAGAGTGAGGTTTTCGGCCGAGGGTAGGCAGAGAGATAAGGACTCCTGAATTATTGTTCGAAATTTTCTTAATGAACAATAGTCTCCACAATTACAGAATATATAAGTAGACTGTTACTATTACAAAATTCTCATTTATTATTATAAAAAACGTCTAAAATACATTCAAAGTATCAAAACAGAAATAACCCGACAAGAAATCCAAATAATGAAATATCCAAAACGGGATTACCTGTGTACTCTGTCATCCATCTTTCCGACCGGCCAAACTGAAACCTCATCTCCTCCTTATACCTCGGCCAAGTGATCAGCATCTCGACCTCGACATAGGATCTCTCCATCCATTCACACCACTGCAAAGCATCTCCCTCTAAGTAGAAGGATTTCCTTGCAATTATCATGTGTTTTGAACCACATGTATGTAGTCTACAACCACAATCCTACATGCTCTTGATCATTGAATTTGGGAACTCAGTTTTGATCCCAAAAATCATATCATCATCACCCTCATAAGCAGAGTTATATCCACCGTACCTAACTATCCAAGAACCGTCCTAGTGCCCATTGTCGTGGTAATTGTGCCTCTCCTCATGCATTAGTGGGTTGGTGAACTCCCATTCGTCCTCCTTCTCCAACTGGCAGATTAGATTCCTCTTCAACCTAATCGAGTCCTCGATCCCTACTCAATCTCCACTGTGCGCTTGGGAGGACGGTTTGATGCCACGATCCTAGGGGCTAGGGGGCCGCCTCTTCCCCTACTTCATGTTGATGTCTGATTCAGTTCGAACCATTTCAGTTCTACTCCGACCTGGTTTGATACGACCTGTACGATTCGGGTTATACTAGCATCGTTCTATCCACCCGCTGCCCAACCGGCTCGTGTGGTAGGCTCTGCCCATCTACTCCTCCTCGTGGGTTCTGGTCGGCCCGCGCCACGCTTTGTTCAACGAGCTCCACTCATCTTCCACTTGGACCCAGTCCAGACGCATGTAACTAAGCCCACAACCGTCTGGTGCTTTGTCTTCAACATTGGGTTCAGTAGCCCATCCCCATCTCCCAAGCCAATCGAGTCGTATCCCGACATCTTGACCTTTCCACGACGGGCCGCAATCTCCTGGACAGTTGGAGTAGGTAATAGGCACGGAGCATACTCGTTAAAAACCATTCGATCCATCCTAGAGTCATCCAAGCAAATGGATCGAATCGCTATTGTGACTAATTTGCAACTCTACTGGTTCAGCCGCTAATTAGTTTTGGTTCTTATAGCAAGGAAAAATACGGATGAATTTAATATATAACTTTGATTTTACTTGTCTATAATCGGTTCTACCTTAAAACTAGACTTTAACAGAAAGGTATAGTCTACAATTACAACTAAATTATGCATTCTAATTCATAAAATTTGCCCTTATAATAGTGTTTAGATGAATGTTATTAGATAAATTTCTATAATTGAACCAAATAATTTCCCTTTAAAGTACAAGTAAATCATAAATAATTTTTTTCTTATATTCACACATTTTCTTATTACATTTTACAGAATTAAAAACTAAGGAAGAAGCGAATCAATCAGAATAGAGACAAACGAAATAGATATTTTCGAGTTTGCAAACAACAACGGCTTTTCAGAAACATCAGCATTATAAATTTTGAAATTAAATTAATCTTATACACTCAATTGATGCATCCACAAATATATACCCTAATATTCTTTATAATCTCTCTTTCCCATTACATATTTACTCTTTTTTCGCATAATTATAAGATGAAAAAGGGATGCGAGTTGTGACACATTGAATTGATATTTTTTGCAGGGTGCTGTGTGGAATGGTGCTAGCCTTACCCGTCACCATAGTCTATTATGTGGTTCTTGGTCTTTGATCTCCTAATCAAGTAGGTTTGGCGGGGTGTGAACTTAATTTTGTAGTGTAATTCGATAAGTCTAAAGAAAAATAGTTAGTGGAATTAGAGAATAGGAGTAGCAGAATCAAAAAGATGTAGCTCCAATGCTAAAGCATGCCCAGAATCTCCGTTTTATAAGTGCTTCTAAAGATTGGACAAAAGTAAGTCTCGTCGTAGAGTTGCCCCTTAAGACAAGTTCCCGAACAAGTGGTTTGGATCGATAATCCATCACTAACCTAATTAAGGCATTTCACCTCATTGAAGAGATTATTGAGTTGGTCATCCTCAAACTACACTGAGTTTCGTTAGAAATAATAAATGGAAGATTCGCAAAACCCTTCACCTACAGAAATTCGATGGACATATGCAGAATCATAGACTAGATAGGTTGATGATTGTCTACGAGCAAGTGTAGTCAAGATTTAAAATGAGGCGGGTTCGAATAGAAAAAAATTGTAAGATGACATTGTTTAAATTTTTAGAAAGATCTAGACTTATTTTCATATTTCATAATATTTCAAAACACATTGATCATCTTCAAGATTGAGATCAAAGAAGGAACTTGATGATTATGGATTTGAGAAGTCAAGAATAACAATCAGAGTGCTAGAGTTTATTTTTAATCTATGTAAAAATCATAGTATATTGTATGAATTAGAATATATTTCAAAGGTTGTGAGAAAAGAAAAAACTTTGATGATTTATCAATTTGAGAAGTCAAGAATAAACAATTAGAGGGGTAGATTTACTTAAATTATGTGAAAATCATAGTGTTTCATATGAATTAGAATATATGTTTATATATGTACATTTCAAAGAGTATTAAAATTTACACAAATAATTTATTAATACCACATCAAACATTTGTAAACATCCATTTGCAATATTTACAAAGTATGTATTAAGATTTAAAAAATGATTTCAAAGTCATTTACATAGTGTATGCTATGCACCCAGAATTATGCCTATATGCTATATCATAGATGCCTCATCTATATTTTTTTAATATAAGTTGTAATTGATTGATAAATTTGTAAACTGATAATAATGAGACTGAAATTTAAATCATTTAAGCATATTATTTCTCATAATTTTTCAAATTTCACTCCAAAACTAAAATTGGTGTCGAGCCAATATGAGTCTAGAACCCACCAATCTTCCCTTTCGCTCCGCCCTTGTCAACAAGTGTGAATTTGTTAGTTTTTCTGTTATAAATATCTGCTTTTGCTTTTAAGTTCTAACACATACTACATTTGATTTTGGTGATAGTTTAGGGGAGATTGTTAATTTGTTACAATGTATGCATTGTTAGCAATGCATCATTTATTTAGTTTATTTACTTAAACAATATATCCATTGTTTTATTGATGTGATAGAACCTATCACTCAAAATGAGTGATAGTAATATCTCTACAAAAACTTGAGATTGTTGAGATAGTTTTAAGGAGATTGTTTGATGTGATAGCAACTGCCTTTGTCAAGAGATCTGTTGTTTGATCTTCAGTAAATAGGTACCCCACTTGTATCATTCCCTCTGCAACCAACTGTCTAATGTAATGAACATGAAACTCAATATGTTTTGTTTTGTCATGCAATACAGGATTAACAGCAATCTGTATCGCACTCGTGTTATCCCCATATATCCGTATTGGAGCTCGACAGTCAACGCCCAATTCTCTTAGAAGTCGGCGAAGCCAAACCAACTCAGAGTTTATCTCAGATGTAGACCGATATTCTGCTTCAGTAGATGACTTTGATATACGATCCTGCTTATGACACCTCCATGACACAAAGGATTGGCCTATCCTCACACACCAGCCGGACGTCGACCTCGGATTATCTAAACACCCAGCATAATCTGCATCAGCAAATGCTTCCAGCTGTGGTTCACCCTTCGGTGGAAAGAATAATCCAACATCCTGTGTCTGCTTCAGGTATCTCAAAAGTCAATGAACAACAGCCAAGTGAAGATTAGTAGCCACCATGACATACTTACTCACCACCTGCACTACATAGCAAATATTGGGTCTAGTATGAGTCATATAAATTAAGCTCACTACTAAGCTTCGATAAACCGATTGATACTTGTCTTCCATCACTTCCCCCCATCTCAGCTAAGCTTAAGGTTCTGTTCCATGGTAGTGGAAGACGGAACACAATCTGCAAACTAAGAGGACTCCAAAAGATCAAGTATACACTTGCGTTGAGAAACAAAGAGACCGTGAGATGAGTGCTTAACTCCAGCTCCAAACTGTATGACACTTCGCCCATTTCCTTCAAATTAAAGGCACTCTGCAAGGCCGCAATGACATCTCGGATACCACCTTCATAATTTCTAGTGATTATCAAATCATCAACGTAAATCAAAAGAACAACAATACCATTCACAGTAGTACGTATGAAGAGTGACAGATTATTCTGACTCTAAGAGAACCCCGTATGCAGAATTGTTCCGTGAAACTTGTCAAATCAAACTCGAGGCGTCTGCTTGACACCATAAAAAGAGCGATTCAGCCGACAAACCATGGTGGAATCTCCTTTATCGTAGCCAGGAGGTCGCTCCATATATACAGTATCCTTCAAATTTCTGTGAAGAAATGCATTATTCACGTCAAGTTGAAAAAGAGACCAACGCTTCATTGCCTCAACCGCAAAAACACACATGATAGTCTGCATCTTCACTACTGGAGCAAAAGTGTCGTCATAATCGATGTCGTACTCTTGCTTGAACCCTTGAGCCACCACACGCGCCTTAAACCTTTCAACCTCTCCATCAGGTAACATCTTCAAAGCATACACCCATCGACTTCCTATAACAGACGTGTCCTCTCGTCAGGAAACCAAGTCCCATGTGCGATTTTCTTCAAGGGCATCCATCTCAAACCGCATCGCCGCATTCCATCTCGGATCAACTACAGCCTGAGAGTAACGTGTAGAATGAAGATGGGAGTCGTAGAAAACCCCACGAAATCATGCATGCGAACGGGCGGTTGTCCCAAGAGAGGAGGGCAAGTTGGACGAACTCGAGGCTTGGGGGGACAATAGGAGAAGACAGTCCGGAATCTGATTCGGAGCTAAACTGAGCCTCGGGTCCTGGCGGAGGCAATGACCCCAACATAGGAGTCTCAAAATAAAGCGTAGATGTGAGGAACTCCAATGAAGCAGTCGAGCTTACCTCAACATGAGAAGAAGAGTAGTAAATTTCGGTCTCCAGGAACTTCACATGATATCCAATGCACATCCACCAACCAACCAGGTCATAACAAAGATACCCTATGTGTTTGTCACTATACCCGACAAACACACAACGAGTCACCTTGAGAGCTAACTTGTGACGTTCTTTTTTGAGTAACAAGACATAACACGTGCAGCCAAAGACTGGCAGAAATGAATAGTTTGGAGTCTTGAGTACAACATCTGAAACAGAGATTTCTGAGCCAGTAAAGGTGATCTGTCGATCAATCTAGTACACAATTGAATTCACCGCTTCCACCCAGAACCTAGTCGTAACATGTGAATGGAAGAGAATAGCACAAGTCAGTTCCAATACATGTCAATTTTTACGCTCGACCACACCATTTTGTTGAGACACAGCGGGACACGATTGTTGTGGAAGAATTCCCAAAGACTTAAAGAACGAAAGAAGGTCATTAGACACAAACTCCTTGCCAGGATCGGAGCGTAGTATCTTCACCGTCTTACCAAACTCTGTCAGAACCATCTAAATAAATTCCCACTGGAAGAAGCTCAGATTTCTGTTTCAGAAAATACACCCACATGTACCGTGTAGTGTGATCAACAAACAAGGCAAAATATCGGAACCCCAATCGAGAAATAACTGGTGGTGGTCCCCAGAGATCTGTGTGAAGTGAACCAAGTCGAACGGATCATCATAAACAGTATCACTGTCGCAAAACGAAAACTGAGAGGTCTTGGCCTCTACACAACTCTCACAATCCGAATGAGGATGACCCAGTCAACGGTGCCATAAGTCCCATACAAAATTCCCATGAGAAACAGCCAAACTATAGTCAGAAAGAGCAACATCATTCTTATTTGAAAAGGAATTCAAATGACACAATCCATGTAGTGCCCCACTCACTGCCTCCCCTCAATGACCAGCTGGCGTGTTGTAGCTCGAAGTCCCCAGTGCACAGCCCGCATCCACAACGCCTCTACTAAGATCATCAAGGACAAAGGCGCGGCCCTGCTTACTTCCCCGCCCGATCACCCTCCCCGTCGTCCGGTCCTGCACAACACAATCATGTGAGTCAAACATGACGTGACAACCATCATCAGTCAGTTGACCCACTGAGACCAAATTAGAATGTAGTTGGGGGACGTAGAGGGTGTTGGGCAAAGTAATTTGCCCTATTTGAGTTGTACTCGAACCAATAACAGGGATAGTCGCACCATTGGCAGCTTGAAGATGCATAGAACTCACAGGGTGCAAACGATCAAACATAGTACGATCACGGGTCATGTGATCAAAGGCCATGGAATCTAAGAGCCATCGAGAGGACTTACCAAAAGGGACAATAGTAGCAAAAGCAGAAGACAATGCCTCTTGTAAGGCATCATGGACTAGGCGACATATCAGATCGGGAGACAAAGATGGCGCCAAGTTGCACCCAGCCGACGAGCTCACCGTGGACTTCTCAAGTGTGACAGGATATGCAGCCCCATGCGAGGACGAGGATGATCCAGAAGCCAGACGGAGCTTGCCTCGCCGAATGAGAGTGGGAAACTCGAGCACGACATGACATGTACGCTTGCAGTAGTTACAAAAACTCTTCTTCTTGCAATGAATCTGAATGTGACCCGGCTCGCAACAGAAGTGGCAAATGAGCTCACCAGTATTCGTCTTAGTGAACTAAGGTCGGGAAGAAGTCGCAGGACGTCCCACAGCAAAGGCGGACGCAGAGTGAGAACTATGACCATCAATCTGAGACTGGCTTTTCAACCGAGTCTCTTCATGCATTAACTCAGCCACAATATCCACAATGCGAGTAACATTTCGATGGATAAGTGATGCCCGAATTGGCTCAACTTCAGACCTAAGTTTGGCGAAGAACTGTAACACATGAGTCCGAGATCATTCAACGATCACAGCAGCGTCCGCAGTCACATGAACAAGATTAGCTGTCAACAAATCATACTCTATCCACAAATGAAGGCAAGCATGATAATACCCACTTATATCACGATCCCCTTGCGCTAACTGACCAATCTCGGTCTCTAGTTCAAATTGTCGAGAGGCGCTATTCTTTGCATAAGTAGAGAAAATATGAGTCCACATCTTGTGAGCCGTCTGAAAACAGCGAGGACTAAGAGCAGTCGGGATGTCGACTAATCCCAATAACCATGTAATAAGTTGAGCATTGGCCTAATGCCAATTGACCACATGATTAGCGGCAACATCAGCCACAAATTGCTTGATTTCCCCTGCCATAACAGAAAGAAGCCTCTTGCCCACCGCAAAGTTACGAAACTGAAATTCCCAGATCACAAAGTTTGTGCTATCAAACTTAATTGAAACAGAATCCATTTTGGACAAATCCATATGAACCGAAGCTGCCACAATCGAGTGAGAAGAAGAGCACCCGAAAAACAAAATGCAGCAAACAACACAGCTACCACAATTGAGGGAGCAAGAGAGCCCCCTAAACTAAAAGGCATCAAACAAACACTAATCTCCAGCGGACCCTTAGCAACAGCAACTCAGAACCAAACCCTTCGGCCAACTGACGCAAGCGAAGAGAACCCCAA